CCCACCCTTCTCAGTCCGATCACCATACCCTTCGTAAAATCGTCTATCTGCTGGAAGTGCCTTCGTTGATGGCGGCCTGCCATTCTCTCCTATTACATGTATCCTGTGGGACAAAAACCAACTTTCTTCAATAATTCGTCTGGCAGAAATAACGACACGAAGTATTGTGCCCATTTTGCACATTCCTTCCCTATTATCTTACTTCATGTGCGTCGGAGAGCTGCACATTTCACATCATTCGCATAACTCAGTGACGTGCATCTACTCTAAAATTTGCATAAATTTCTGACCACTCCTACTTGGTGTGGCATTTTCAATGTTGAGCAGTGTACATGGTTTAATCGAAGAATGGGGAATATCAGTTTATAATTAAATTCAGTGGCGATTATTCATCAATAACTAAAACTGGAGCTTGATGTGTGTGTCCTCCACAATGGACAGTTACTCTGATACAGTTCCAGTAGACCATTCAGTTTGTACGTGTGAAGAATATGAAGCCTTGCAAGATCACATGCACTAATGGATCAGTCTATGTTGACCTTAAAATAGTCTGCTTCCTCCTTGGCCAGCAACATGGATATACCAAATATCCCTATTTTTTGTGAATGTGGGACAGCATAGCTCGTGAGAAGCATTGGGTTCAATTGAATTGGCCACCAAGATTTGACCTGAAACCTGGTGATCCAATCGTTCTACATTAGCCACTTGTCGACAGAAAGATCATTATATATCTATCTCTACATGTAAAACTGTGTCACATGAAGCACTTTTTTTTAAAGCTTTTCCCGATGTGCTTGATAGTCCACAGATTCAGAAGCTACATGAAGATAACCATTTCATTGGTACAATGAAAGAACTTCAAAAGAATGCTTTGCTGGCGTTCAGAAACATTATGAAAGACTTTCTTGGAAGTACAATTTCACACAATTTCAGCAAAATAAACCAGCAACTTTTAGAGAGCTTCAAAATGTTTGGTTGCAACATGAGCCTTAAACTGCATTTTTTAAATAGCCATCTTTATAACTTCCTGAAGAATCTTGGTACAGTCAGTGACGAGCAGGGTGAGCGATTCCACCAAGATTTGAAGGTTATGGAGGCATCGTACCAAGGTGGATGGGATACATATGAAGGCTGATTATTGTTGAAGCATCAAGCGAGAATATCCACAGATGAAACTCCAGAAAAAGCCATAACTGAAAATTTTTACTGTAATATTTATGTTTACCGTTCGGTAAAAAACTTTGCTATTGTATGAACCAAATTTAACTAGCAGTAACTTTAATTAGCTCTTAAAAAGTTAACTAAGTTTAACATTTAAAATTTAACTTTTGTATGAATAAAACTATTCTTTGTGAACAGTATATATATGGTAAGTTTTCCCTGTCCTTTATGTGCATTTAGGTTACTTTTGGATTCAGAGGCCAAAAGTTAGTCATTGCTGGTTTTAGTATTAATATTTGGTTTAAATTTTTATCTCATGTTTAACTTTTGTATTTGTGTAATTTTTTTAAACTGAATTGTTATTGCCAAAAAATAAAAGGAAATTATAAAATTGGTTTTGGTAATAAAATATCCCTTCTTCCCAAGGGGGCATTTAAAATGTTGTAATTTTTTGCATGATTTATTATGACAACCATGAATTTCAATATTTTGTTTTGTACCAAATATTGTTTTTCGTGCACTTAGTAAAATTGTTGTGTTAGGTTCAGTGCAAACATTGACTTGTCTTCTTGAGTTATGTAACTCATTTCTATCTTTTTATATTTTTTGTTCAAATTTTGTTTATTTTTATAGTTGATACTACTAATTTTATGTTTAACTGACATCCTGAATCCTGAAATGTTTGTTCTGGTCATATGTATTATTTTTCAGAATACATTTAGCAGTGCTCTCAGTATTTAAAGTAAAATTTACAAATAAGTTTTGTTAAGTTAATACAGTTTAGCATGATATTATCATGCTTACATCTGTGACTAATGCCCCTTAAATCTGTGGAATTATTAAAAAATGCCAAACGCTGTTCACTCTTAACAACAGTTGCTTTTGAAAATAGCATTTACAGAGGCTGTTTGCACATTTTTTAGATAATTTTCATTGTAATTAGAGAACTGTTTTACCTAAAATTTAAGTTTTAAATGTTCTATTTGATAACATTTATTCTTCACTATCTTTATGCACTGTAATTTCCAAGGTGATAAAGCCTTTTGTAGTAAAGGAAGAAGTATAGTATCCATTTGCTCTTGAATAACTTTCCAAAATTTAAGGAGGTTGCAGGTTGATGTTTTTTAAAAGTTTAAAAGTATAAAAATACATTGGTGATAAATCAGATTTAATAGGGATATGAATGAAGGGTATAGCCTTGATACCCATTTCTTGTTCCAGTTTTTCCACGAAATTAACAGTGGATTTTGACTTGTCACTTCTTACTTTGTCTTGATGCAGTTCTACTGATTGATTGCACTGTATGTAAATAGGAGGTATTTCATACTTGAAAATTGGGTATAAAATATGTTTTAGATAATATGTGGAGTTGATCTTAACATTCTACTCTCTTTATTTTTAATTTGCTGTTATATGAAAAACCATCAACAATAGTAAATCCCTTAGAAAAACTTTCTTTAGATTTCTTGAATCATGTTTTAAGATTTTTTTCTTGATGATAATAAATGGATCTCTCTTTATTGCAGTCATTTGAGTGCATCCAAGATTCATCTAGTGTGACATTTTTCTTCAGATAAGTATTTCTCCGCATTAATTCTGCAGCGCATTCTGCATTCGGTGATATGTCGTGGAGAAAGACTATGCACATTATGTTTTTTTTTTTTTTTCCCTTTTGTAAGATTCAAATCAGCATTAATCTCTTTGTTTGCATTTGACACTGAGTATTTTAATGACTTTGAAACTGTCTTTTTAATTGGTGAATTTTCTTTTAACCTTAAAGATCTTATTTTTGCAGCATTTAAGACATTTTGTTTTTTCTTTGATACTTATTTGGAACACTTTTTCCTCTTGAAGCTAAATTTTGACATTTTTTTTTTTTCCCATTTTTGTTGACAACATTACTTATTGTAGCTTTAGATATCGAAAAACCGTGCCTTTCACCACATTTTTTAATAACTAGATACAAGTAATTTTCTTCAGAAAGAACACAAATATAGCCTTCCATCCATTGCTTCATCAAAAGTGACATTTTGCATAAAAACAAAACTTTCAGTTAGCAGCCGATAACTTACATTTTCAAAAATTTAGTTGCAGTTAAAAAAACATTCCAAGCAGAAGATCCTTTTTTACAGCAAAGCAAAATCATCTAAAAAATGTGTGAACAGCTTCTATATAAATAATTTTTGCAAGTAATTAAATGAATATAATGTAGAAGAATTAATTAAAGCATACTGTGTTTTATAGCAAGTTTCTGTGAAAAGTTAATTTTGCAATAAGAGAGGTCATTTCATTGTAATTCTTAGGTGAAGAGATGAGAAATAGAGGCTTTTTAGTGTTGATTTGGAAATTCGTAATCATGACTTATGAGTAAATTCATTGCATATAAAATTAGACAAAATACATTAAATTGGCATTAGTTTTGTTGAAAATCATGTAGGTGATATGACACTAGTAGAAAAATTCTTGAAAGAGCTTTCTTATAAATCCATTGGCAGTCCAAAGTAGTATTTCCATGGTTTTAAATTGGCATGTTTGTGTTCTGTTATAATACTTTATTTACTTGCATAGTCTTCCTAGATTTAGAAATTTCTGATTTATAATATGTAATTACAAGGCATGGATACTATGAGGTATGGATAGATAGCAATGTACATTGTGTTAAGTACAAAGAATAATATTAATAAAATTAGCAAACTAAAATTAATAACTGAAACTGACATAATTGAAATATAAAATATAGTACAAAGTCTGGGATGCAGAATCCACGATTCTGGGTTTCGACAATTTCAGGATTTCGGATTGTCAATCTAAACCTAGTAAGAAGACATGTGGAAATTATAAAATTAAAAATATTCTTTAAGAAAGACATGTTTTGTGTAAAGATTGGTTTTTTGAATTAAAGTGTGACTCATAGCTGAAATGGCAGAATCTGTATTACAGATATTCATGGTTGAGACATGCCCATCGTATTGTAAAACTTCAGTTATATTGTCTTCAGAAGCATTTCTTCTTGTTATTCCATTAATTAGAAAAAATTCACTTGTGATATCTGAATTGGTGGCTTTCATCATCATGAAATTTAATAGTTGACTCTATATTATGCAAAAGATCTTTAAAAATGTCTGCACATACAACCTCTCATGATCTTACAATGCCCCATATATGAAGTTTTATATTAAAATATTCATGGACAATCTTAGTGCTGCATCACTTTTTAAAAACTAATTAATATCCACATTTCAGTATGCACAAAATTGCAATATCCATTGGTTAATTGGCAGATGTACAGTTTCGGAAAAAGAGGGAAAGTGAGATATTATTATTGACTGTAATTTAGATAAGATTAATAGTAATAGACAAAACAAAATAATAAGCTACTTCAAACAGAAAGTTAAAGGGAAGCAAATTTGCTATGTTAACAGAATTTAAGTTCTTTGGAATATAATTCTTTCACCCTTTCCTACTATGCTAACAAAAGGAAAGCAGTGTGACCAACAGCCCCATTTCCAGTAAGTAAGTCTTGAGGCTTCACTCATTGCATGAGTCAGACTTAGATGCTACCTCCCACACAACCACTTAAGGGCTTAAAGTGTATTTGTTGCTAATATCAGTTGATATATTGTTATTGGCCATGGTAAATGTGTTATGTAATTATGTCAGTAAATGGCAGAAGCTGTCTACAAGACTTTATAAATTTGTTATATTTTATGAATTACTTTTTTTTTTTTTTTTTTACATTTTGTAGATGGCATCAGATTTGCCACATATGTTATGCATTGGTCTTTTGCTGATAGTGTAAAAAAAAATTCTATTAAATGTATTTTTTCTGTTTTTGATAGTATCCAATTGGGAAATTTATGTTTTGATTGAAGATGTATTTGGAGCTGATTATATCAAGTGCTCAATAAAGTTGTTATTCATCAAACAGCGTGCACACTATCCAGGTAGATGAAATATATTTCTTAGTTCTTAAGTATTGAAGTATATTGTAAAGAGATACTCTGATAGAGGACTTATTGGGTCTAAGTATTTTTAAGGTTTATAAATTTATTAACGGCTTGTTCAGAACAGATGTTGATGGATAGTCTTGGCGTAGCTCTGATTTCATGTTTTTTCTTTTTTCCCTTTTTTTTTTAAATTTATTTTCAAGTGGGGTCAGCAGTATGACACAGTGAAGGTTACTGATAGGATTATTTTGTTTAAATTTAGTTGAAGTACTTTTGAATTGTATTTTGTGAATTAAAACTGGTATAATTGCTCATTTTATTATGGATCCTTTAACTGCAAAATACGGGGGATTGCGTTCCTTTACCAAGACTATTAATGTTTAGAAAAACAAAATTGGTAAGGATTGTTTTTCAGAAGGAATAATTAAAAGATAAATTCAGAAAGTTACAAATGTTACAGAATGATATTGAGGAAATTAACGAACAAATAGTGAATTCTGTAATTTCGAGTAATATGAAGGCTGAAAAAGTTAAAGAAGAAATGGAAAGCTGGGAAATTTATAAAGATGAATTTATTACAATTGCTCACTTAGTAAGAAGTTAGGTGCCTTGTAAGAGGTAAATATAGAAACGAGGTCACAAAGTAGTGTTTCTAAGTAATTTGCCTTGTAACACTAGTTAGTTTAAGATCCTGAAAATATAGCTTAAGGATTTCGATGGAAATTTATTGAACTGGCTTCCATTTTAATCTTAATTTGAAAAAATACACGAGGACCTTAATTTGCATGAAAGTGACAAATTTCTGTGTCATGTGCAAAGCGTGAAGCAAGGAATGCATGCTAGAGGCTTTATTGACAGTTATCCAATGTCTGCGGAAAATAATTAAAAAGCTATTAGTGTTCTTAAGGAACATTTCTGGAAACATCATTTATTAGTTAAGATATAAACAAAAGAGATTATAAAGTTAATTGTAACAAATGTTAGACCAGGTAGTAGTGAAAAATAACCATTCCCTGAATTATTTGATAAGATTGAAGCATACTAAGAGCTCTCGAATCCTTAGATATTAAAATGGAAAGCAATGTTTATTGGTTATATCCTATGGTAGGATCATGCATTTCAGAGAAGGTCTTTAGAGCCTGGCAAAGAAGCTTGCCTTCTCGAGAGATAAATATAAAAGTCAGGATATTTATTGTTTAACCATTTTGATGAAATTCTAAAGTGGTAAGTGGAGGGTGAGGAAAGACTTAAAGTTAGCACAGAGTTGGATTTAAAAGTTTAAACAAAGAGACAGGTATTGCAGTAAATCGAAAAGAGATTTAAAAGGCAAATTTAAATCAAAACAGTTAACCTTTTCGTGACGGCGCACCTTTGTTTAAGACGCTCGTGCGGGACGGAAGGGAATTGAAGGCAGTCACCATACAGGATGGAGGTTTTGCATCACTAAGCCTAATTTTATAAAAAAAGATCAGGAAAAAAAAGTTTCGCTTCTAGCATCGTAATTTTTTGTATTCTTTTAGATTATTACTTGAGCTCTTATATATGTTTAAATTAGCACTTAATAACGTTTTTTTCCTTTATTTTACATGAAAATATATTAAAAAAATTGCTTGTCTTGTAAAATAATTTTCGGAAGCACTATTGAAATTATTCCAAAGTTTTAATTGATAAAATCTATCAATAAAGTTTTACATTAATAAAACAACAAAATAAAGACTATTTACAGTTAGAAGAAACAAAATTTAAAATGAAGACTGTGGTAAATCTTGAAGTACCACTTTCTAACACTTAGAAAAAGTATCACTTTTTAACTTTAGAAAATGAATCATCACTCTCATCTGTGTTAATAAATGGTTCATTGGCCATATGAGGGTATTTTTCTCTGATAAATAGTGCCTTTCTGCTATAATAGACTGGAGGTGAGGCTTTCCAAAATAAAAAAGAGCAGAAGCGGAAATATATCTGAAGGGCAATGCAAAACGTAACAATACTCCACATACTAACCCTAAAAGACCGTATATAGTAAAGGGAAAAAATAGTATAAAAAAAGGAATTGGATATAAATCAGACACGCGAATGTTTTCATTAGCACGCAGCGATTTAAAGAGCGCACCTCTGTTTACGTTTTCCCTCCCAGCCCCCCTCGCAAGAGCTGATGAGTAAAATACCAAAGTCAAGCAGAATATATCAAACTCAAGGTCAGGAACTTAAAACTGTGTTCATTTCAAAAGTAATGGACATAGGATGCCATCTAGTGGCCTTCAGAAAAACTTTCCAGCTTAAAATGCGCATACGCATCACCCGTCCTCTGAATGCAATCTCTAGCGATGTGTGGATGGGACACCCGTCCTGAAAGGGTTGATGAATTTTCTTATGGCAGCAGGTTTCCTTAAGCTGAAAGATAATAACTGTATTTTTTGCGATCAACTGCACGATACTAAGGACCGTTACGAAGCACACTTTCTGTTATTAGATGAGAAAATGAATAAAATTAACCTTGGGAGATGTTGCCTAAAATGCCTTTTGCCTGAAAATTTTGCTAAGTCCTGTAAACAGTTCATACATTGCTATGCATGTAGTAGAGCTCACACAGTTTTTCTCTGTCTAGATCTGCAGGGAGAGAAACTCAGAAAAAGGTAACAGCTCCAGGAACCATTCAAGCAGGGAACAGTTTTTAGGCTCCTTAACTCAAAATAAAGATGGGAGATAGTGCGTTGGTCTACCCTGGTTAGAACATAACTTAGATTTGTCATCCAACCATCATATCATAGAAAAAGGTCTTTTTAGCACAACACAAACACTTAAATCTTTGAATGTGGCCTTGAAGAATATAGTAATGTCTTTAGGGAGTGGCTTGTGGAAGGCATGGTAGAGGAAGTTTTCATGCACAGTCTTAAGTTCAAAGAACATTATCTTCCACACCATCCTGTCATTAAACTGGGGAGTCTTACCACTAAGGTACAGCTGGTATTTGATGCATTGTGTAAATCTAAACGAGCACCAACTCTTAGTAACTGTTTGGTAAAGGGACCATATTTAACCCTTTGGCCTATAACCACGAGTCTGACTCTCCGCAAAGAATTTGTGCTGTAAACAAAAGCCACGAGTCTGACTCATGGTAAAGAATTTGTGCATAAAATGCTGCGTATTATTATTAGAACAAGCTATTGGAGTTATTCTACATTGAATATTTTTCCTTTAATTGTAGCGTCAGTATTTTTTTTTTTTTTTTTCCTCAGTTGTTTCTGACAAAACTGCATGATCTGTTACTTTAGTTCCCCAAAAAGTTTCGTTACGTTCACATGTTTCAAATATAATTTCGTATAAAGAATTAAAAATCTCTTGTACCCATCATGCAGTTATTTTTGTCAACTGATCAATTCACTATGATTACACCCTAGACGTCTTAAAATTACCATTTGTACCTAAACACTGTTTATTATTTCACAATTCCTTTCATTACACTGAAATATGTATGTTATGAAAAGTATACATTTTGCACCAGTTCGGGTACACAGCTGAACAGTTGAATGGCACGGCATGCGACCGACTTTCTTGTTTACTGTAGCTCGCACAATTGGCAGATATCGTGTAACGTCAAGGGGTTATTCGAGGAAATACTTGCCTTATTATTAAGGTTCAGAAAGAAATGTATAGGGGTTATGGTGGATATAAGATGCACATTCTTGCAAATTGAACTCAAAAAAGAGGATCAAGATATTTTAACTTTCCTCTGGTGGAAGAATGATAACCTCTTAAAAGTGTATTGCTACACAAGGGCAGTTTGGGGGGCTAGATCAAGCTCATGCTGTAGGTGCTGTCATTTCATTCTGTTTGTCTTGAGTTTCTGCTGAATTACTAAGTAGTAGAAAAGTTTTGAAATTCTTTTAATTGTATCACGTCTCTTGACGCAGAGGAAGAGGTGAAAGATTTTATGAATAAACCACTGCACACTTTTTAGAAGCTAAGATGGACCTTGGATGTGGGCATTCAGTTAAAAAAAAAATGACATTAGTTAATTTCAAGCAATGGCAATTTGGAATCTGTTTTTAAAAATCAGATTTCAGTCTTGTGTATTCTATGGGATAGAAGGGATGCTGGCCTTTCAAGCCTGTAGTACATTCATTTCAAGCCTGTAGTACCGAATCTAGACAACCTGTCAAAAAGCTTTTGTCTCTAACATAGGATTTTTTGACTCTCTAGGGATTTTAGCTCCTGTGTTGTTACCGGCTAAGCTATTGATTCAAGAAGTTTGGGCTAATGAAGTGGAATGGAATTTGTCTCTGTCAAACAGACATTTTTGAAGTGGTATAGTAAATTACAGATCTTGTCAGATTTGAAAATATCTCACAGAATAGGATACAGAAACAAACTAACTTGAACTCTGCAAGTTTTTTGTGACTCGAACCAGAAAGCTTATGTGACTATGATATCCTTGCATTGCAAGGACAATGGTGACACCTTTGTAAATTTTCTCGTTTCAAAATTGCATGTTGCAGTTTTAAAAGTTAGTATGCGGAGGAGCGGTGTAGCACCAGGGTGCCTGAGTCAGAGACCCTACCTCTTATGGAAGAAAATAAGTAGTTTTCGAATTTTGACATGGCATAACTGCATGAATTAGATTACCATAGATTAGTCTAATTATATATAAACTTTACATAATATTTTTTAAAGATTTTTTAAGTAAATTAAATAATGAGAGAGTCATAATTAAGTAATAACGAGCTGGGAAGTTGAAAAGAGAAGCTAGGTGCTGGTTTTAAACCTGTTGGGAGACATATATGTACAAAAATAAATTAACATCAAGTGTGAATCCCTTGGAGCACTTGGAAGAATATTAAGTATCAAAAGTATGTAATAACATGAACATATTAGATATAGAGGTAGGCAAATCACTAGGTAATAAAAATAGGTAAAAAATTACATATTATTCAGGCTGGTTGCTTAAAATGGCCATAAGCCTTTTACTTTGGCACTGATTGTTACAGTCAGTCATA